GAGTAAGGAAAAAATTAAGGGCTTGATTGTTTATAAAATAATTTGTTCAAATTGAGTTATTTTGGTTAATCATGATTAATTTTGAAAAAGGTGGTATAATTAATTGTAGTGGAATTTTAAGAATGTATTAAAATAATATTTAAAATAAAATAATTAAAGTTAATGATATAAAATAAGTCTAAAATAAGTGTTTTGAAGTTGCTTCCAAAATTTACGTCAATGTCAAGTACAGTCATTTGACATCTATTAGACAGTACCAATTGTATTATGACATGTGGCTTTGTCAATGGGAGAGCATGCTCTTAGATAGGGATGTAAATGGGTCGGGTTGGGTATGGGTTTTGGCAAACCAAAACCCGACCCGCATGTAATTTACCCTACCCAAACCTGACCCGTTACCCGGCTAGTGATATTCGGGTTCGGGTTGGGTTTTACCCGGCGGGTTAGTAGGTTTTCGTCAGGTAAACGGGTAACCCGAATCTTAAATTTGGGTTTTAACCGACCCATCTCGTTTCATATGAAAATAAAATAAAATAATTTCTCAATTAATTATAATGTAAGAAATAATTTATTAACTAAGTTTGACAATAAAAGAACTATACAAAAATTGTATTATTTTTGGAATAAATAATGAGATATGATTATTTATCTTTTATAGTCTATTTAATATTATAACATTTAAAATTAAGTATTTAATTTTTCTATTGTACAATTAACAACAAATGATAATAAAATTATAAAAAATAAAATAAATTTAACCATTAATCAAAATTATAATAGGTAATCTAATTTTTAAAAATAACAGTGACTACTTTTATATTTATTATAAGTTATAAATATATATATATATATATGTATGTATGTATGTATGTATATATACATGATTCAATGGTTGCGGATAAACGGGTAGGGTAATCGGGTCGGGTAACGAGTTTGCCTATTATACCCGCACCTGACCCGACCCGGGGTTCGGATAGCATAATTCTACCCTAACCCGACCCGAAACCTATTCATCTCGGGTTTACCCGACTAAAAATACGAGTAACCCGCGGGTAACCCGACCCTACGAATTTTATTGACATCCCTAGATTGTGCCTGGACAGACGCTAGGTCATAATAAGATTTTGAACACCAATTCAAATGTTGGCATCAGTTCAACATAGTTATTCGTAAACTGCCACAAAAAATTCAAAGAAAATCAAACATGATCCTCTTTTTGACATTTCAGACATAATTGGTGCAGCTATTCTGTTAGTGTTATTATTATTGTATAGAGAGATACAGAGAAGACGATAATGATTCATAGTTAAAAATGTGTAAACAATATTATTTATTACAAAATCTATAATAATTGTTAATTTTTATTTTTTAATTATTTATAATTTTTGGGTTAATATTAAATTGGACGTAAACGAAATAAAACAAAATAGTCAATTATTTATAGTTTAATAAATTACTCAATAACTTACGTGTCAATATTAACTTGGACGTAAATGAAATAGTCAATTATTTATAGTTTAATATATTATTCAACTACTTAATTATTTTATTTGAATTGTTTATACAAAAACAATTTATTCTAACTAATGAAACGATATAAATTTTATCTTATTTATTCACATAGATTGTTAAATATATGATAAAATTTTACAAATATAACTATTTTATGAAATCACGTTATAGTCAGATCGAATTTCTGAATAAAAATTTTGAAATGATACTCATTTTGAAACAAATATAATGTGATTCATTATCAGTTATAT